GAGGAAGGGATATAGGGGACAAACAGCAGGAGCGAAAGGCGTAGGGAGTGAGCGAGGGCAGAGAGAGAGAGGGGGACACAGAGGGAGGAACAGGGGGAGGGAGGGCGGCAGACGGGAGGACAGAGAGAGAGAGGAGGGACAGATGGATGGAGGGATAGAGAGATGAAGGGACAGATGAAGGATGGATGGACAGAGGGTGGGACAGAGGGAGGGAGGGACAGAGTGTGACAGATGGAGTGACCGAGGGACAGACAGAGGGACAGGGAGACAGAGACAGGGAGGGCGGGACAGGGGGAGTGACCGAGGGAGAGACAGTGAAGAAGAGACCGAGGGAGAGACAGAGACAGGGATAAAGACGGAGGCAGGGTCAAATAGGAGGGAAAGACGGATGGAGGGAAAGACGGGGGATGGATATAGGGAGGGACAAACAGTAGGAGGGAAAGATGTAAGGAGGGAGGGACACAGAGGGAGGAACAGGGGGAGGGAGGGGCAGAGGGAGAGACAGATGGGAGGGACAGATAGGAGGGACAAACAGCGGGAATTATAGAGGGAGAGAAAGATGGAGTGAGGGAGGGGGGACAGACAGAGGCAGTGACCGACACAGTGAGGAAGAGACAGAGGGAGAAACAGAGAGGCAGGGGCAGACAGAGGGAGGGACAGAGAGGCAGGGGCAGACAGAGGGAGGCACAGATGGAGGGAAATACGGAGGAAGGGACAGATAGAAAGAGAAGTGACAAAATAACAGGCAGGGGGGGACTGACAGGGGGACAGGGAGACACGGGGGGAGGGATCAGGGGCAGACGGAGGGAGGGATAAAGGGAGCGACAGATGGAGAGAAAGACAAAGGAAGGGTCAGATAGGCGGAACAGACGGATGGAGGGAAAGACGAAGGGAGGGATAGATGGAGGGACAAACACTGGGAGGGAAAGACGGATGGAGGGATAGAGGAAGGGACAGATGGAGGAAAGGACAGGTAGGAGGGACAAACGGCGGGAGGGATAGATAAAAAGAGGGTGAGACAGATGGAGTGACCGAAAGACAAAAAGTGGGACAGGGAGACAGAGGGAGTGACCGAGGGACAGGGAGGGAGAGACAGTGAGGAAGAGACAGAGGGAGAGACAGGGAGAAAGCTGGAGGCAGGGTCAAATAGGAGGGTAGGACGGGTGAAGGGAAAGACGGGGGAGGGACAAACAACAGGAGGGAAAGACGTAGGGAGGGAGGGACATAGGGAGAGAGGGACACAGAGAGAGGACAGACAGATGGAGGGATAGAGGGAGGGACGGACAGATTGGAGGATGGACAGATAGGAGGGACAAACGGCGGGAGGGATAGAGAGAGGGAAAGACGGAGTGAGGGGGGCAGGACATACAGAGGCAGTGACCGACACAGTGAGGAAGGGAGAGACAGAGAGGGAGGGACAGACAGAGGGAGGGATAGATGGAGGGAAAGACGGAGGAAGGGACAGCTAGAAGGAGAGGTAACATAGGAATAGACACATGGAGAGAAAGACGAAGGAAGGGTCAGATAGAAGGAGGAACAGACGGATGGAGGGAAAGACGAAGGGAGGGATAGAGGGGGGACAATCATTGGGAGGGAAAGACGGATGGAGGGATAGAGGGAGCGACAAACAGCGGGAGGGAAAGACGGAGTGAGGAACACAGAGGGAGGGACAGAATGGAGGGAGGAGGGACAGAGGGACGGGGGGGGGGGCAGATGGATAGAGGGAGGGCAGACGGAAGGACAGAAATGGCGGGACAGAAAGATGGAGGTACAGGTGAAGTGTTGGGTGGACAGAGGGAGGGACAGGGGGTAAGACAGATGGAGTGACCAAGGGACAGACAGAGGGACAGGTAGGTAGAGAGAGACAGAGGGAGGGACAGAGGAGGGAGGGGCGGAGGCAGGGACAGATAGAAGGAGGGACAGATGGATGGAGGGATAGAGGGATAGACAGACGGAAGGACAGAGAGATGACGGCACAGATGAAGTGTTGGGTGGACAAAGGCAGTGACAGATGGAGGGAGAGACAGGGGGTAAGACAGATTGAGTGACCAAGGGACAGACAGAGGGACAGGGAGGGAGAGACAGACAGGGAGAGAGAGAGACAGGGGAAGGAGGGACAGAGGTAGGGACAGATAGGAGGAACAGATGGATGGAGGGAAAGGCGGAGGGAGCGATAGAGGGGGGGGGCAAACAGCAGGAGGGAAAGACGGAGTGAGTGAAGGAGGGACAGGGGGACAGATGGGTGGAGGGAGAGAGGGAGGGACAGATGGATGGACAGAGAGGAAAGGGTAGACAGAGAGATGGAGGGACAGATGAAGGGATGGGTGAACAGACGGAGGGACAGATAGGAGGGACAGATGGATGGAGGGAAAGGCGGAGGGAGGGATAGAGGGAGGGACAAACAGCAGGAGGGAAAGACGAAGTGAGGGAGGGACAGATGGTGTAGGGAGAGAGGGGAGGAGGACAGATGGATGGGTAGAGGGAGGGACAGACAGAGGAAGGGGCAGACAGAGATGGAGGCACAGATGAAGGGGGGGAGGGATAGAGGGAGGGACAGACAGTTGGAGGGAAAGATAGAGGTAGGGAACGACAGTCTTCTTCATCATGAAATTAAACAATGTTTATAAGCTTAAAGTAAATCGGGTGATAACTTTAGTCTCTAGAGTGTCCATGAGTGATCAAGGGCTATAACTCTAGCTATAATTTTCAGAAATTGTTGAAAATGAATAGGCTTCTTCATATCATGACCTAAAACGCTGTGTAAAAACACAATGGGAATCGCATCATAACTTTCGTCTATAGAGAGTGCACAAGATTTTTCAAGTGATCAAGGGACATAACTCTAGCCAGTAATTTTTGGAAATCATTGAAAATCAGTACGGTAGGCGTCTCTGTCTCATGAACTTTTTAAACACTGTATAAATTGGGTGATAACTTCTGGAGCTTCCTCTGGATATTTCAAGGGCCATAACCCTAGCAGTAATTACTAAAAATTGTCGAAAAACATGTATATTATAGTCGGGTGAAAAACCCGAGGTCCTGTGTACACATTGGCATATAAAAAAGAACCCTTGACAGGTGTAATTCCAAGTAAGAGTAGGTCACAGACAGACCAAAATTTCCCTCCCCATCTTCATTAGCCCAGTATGAGTAGAACAGTATTGTCTTCTCCATTTCATTTCCTTTCTTTTGTCAGTTGTACAGCAGTGAGGGGCTAGAAGCAAGTGGGCCTATCTAGTAATTAGGATGGTATGCAAAACAAATATGCATAGAGGCCTACTGCCGAGTATTGGCAATGTTAACGAATAAAAGATCCCTTGGCCTTGCTTGGCTTGACACAGATGGAAATCGAAGGAGTATGGTGTAATTGCGACACTAGGCTTATTATACCCAGTAACCAGTTGGTGCAGAAAAGTAAGTTAAACCCCATTTGATTCATTTATATTCTTGGCAAGAGCTGTGAACAGGGCAGAGAAAGGACATGGGTATGGGTAGCCCACTCCAGATTGTGGCTTATTAATTAAAGTTAATGATAACATATGGTTCTAAGTCACTAAGTGCAATTATGGAATCAAATTCATCTTGAAAAATTAATTCCAGTTAACACTTTAGCCTACATTCTGCAAAAATGCAATGCATAAAAGTTTTTTAGAATAGAAACTAATACGTACAAAGGAAGCCATTATGGTTACACAAAAAAGTTTTTTTTAATGTGTTAAAAGCATGTCAATAGGTTACTATTGACCAATTAAACAACAGTTAAGGAATGAATATTGTTCTTATTTCATTGCGCTAACAGCGTCTGACAAGAATACCGTGCGGTATGACGGTATACCTTGTCACTACTTGTAAGCGTTGACAATGGTTAACATTTTTCCCGCTACAGGCGTATGACCTCAAACGTATCGGGTGTTCTTGACTACGCCGTTAGAATAGGTGAGTAAAATAGCAGTTGTTTTTATTAAATGATTTCTGTAGTTACATATACATTGTAATTAGTATGGAAATTACCAGGGCTATATGAACAAATATGGGTACATGTTATGTCACAGTAGTGCTGCGATAAGCCCCATTCAACATAATATGTAAGGCTGGGGCTATTTGCCACATGTAGTAAGTCAATGCGGAGACTATTTGCCACACGTGGCAAGTCTCCGTACCGCAATTATCAACCGATTTCAATGAAACTTACAGATAACGATAACATTAATAATATCTCAGCGTAGGCAAAATTTCGACCACTTCCGGTTAGCGGTTTCCGAGATATCAGGTTACCACACATTTTATGTGGCACGGCCACAGACCACAATTATCAACCGATTTCCATGAAACTTACAGAATATGATAACATTAATAATATCTCAGAGTAGGCAAAATTTTGACCACTTCCGGTTAGCGGTTTTCGAGATATCAGGTTACCACACATTCCATATGTGGCACGGCCACAGACCACAATTATCAACCGATTTCCATGACACTTCCAGAATATGATAACATTAATAACATCCCAGAGTAGGCAAAATTTCGACCACTTCCGGTTAGCGGTTTCCGAGATATCAGGTTACCACACATTTCATGTGGCACGGCTACAGACCACAATTATCAACCGATTTCCATGACACTTCCAGAATATGATAACATTAATAATATCTCAGAGAAGGCAAAATTTCGACCACTTCCGGTTAGCGGTTTCCAAGATATCAGGTTACCACACATTTCATGTGGCACGGCTACATTAAGGGCTTTTCATACAAAATTAAGCCATTTTAATCCCCAAAATGTATCTGGGAAAATCCCTTTAAATATTTTATTGTTGTCTAAATTTTCTGTATTGTTGCAGATGTATTATAAGAAAATCGTATACCATACCTGGAATCCCTTTTCCTGACCCGAGTCCGAAAAGTCGCCCGACCGAGTCCAAAAAGTCGCCGAGGAAGTCCGAAAGGTCGCTAGACCGAGTCCGAAACGACGTTTGTTGTGTTGAGTCCGAAATGACGCGAGACCGAAATGACGTGCTACGGAATGGCAAATAGCGAAAATGAATGGTGAATAACTCTTTGCCATTCGAATGGAGAATATCCTCTGCCCTACATGAATGTTTATTATTTAATAGGGTACCGGTAGATTGTAAATGTAGATTCATCGTTGAGCCAGCTGTTTCATTTAAATAATTGGTTAATACAGGTTTTTATATATCTGCATGATGAGACTAAATGTTTAAAGTAAAAAGTGTCAAAATGGATGTTGATGATCTCTATTATTATGGTAAGATTTAAATTTTGTTAAAAGGTTCATTTCATAGAGCACAATAAAAACATGTCCAACTGCATTCTTTAGGGGGCAGCAGATGACTTGATACTATTTCAGTAACGTACCTCTACCAGTTCCTGTGACCGTAGAGATGTAACCGGGTCTAATTCAAGCAGAAGACGAGGCTGTTTAAATCTTTTTTAAAAACCCTGTAAAAATATACATACATAGAATTAACATCACCAACATTTAATTTATAATACATATAATACACTTTAAAACACATCAAACATTACACTGTATTATAATTATACTATATATTTAATTCTATACTCATATCTTTACAGTAATAATTTCTATAATAATAATAATATCTCTAATTATTAGATAATACCTATATAAAATAACATACCATAGAAGCATAGGCGTACGGGGAAATTTTTGACTGGGGGGGGGGGGGGCGGTGGTGGTTGGTGCCCAAAAAATGTAGTTAGGTTCTTAGTATGTTACATAATAATAATAAATTCGCTGTTAAATTGGACACATTCAAGAACACAATATTTTTTTTATACAACTTTTACAAAGTACAATTGCTGCCCCCCCAGCCCCCCCCAGCTCGTACGCCTATGCCTAGAAGGGGTTTTAAAGATCTTTGTGTTGAAACAACACAACCATGTAACACTCTAGCAGCTAGAAGGTATCCTATATAAACAAATGATTCTATGATTATTCTATGCTAAAACTAAACTTAAACTAAACCTAATTACTAAATGTTAAAGTAGCTAAGTCTCTAACTCAATATCATCCAAAATCTTCAACATTGAAAACACGATTTATTTGTCAAATTAAATCAAAATTCATGTTGTGATCTTACCGGAAAAAGATGGGCTTTTGATATCCAATATTTAAGACAAAATAAGCATTTTACCATTGGTACACGAATCGTTTACCATAATGCGCTTCAGCCCCAGTTGTATCAAGAGACTCGAGGGACGAGGCTAGACACATTGCACCAAATCAAACGGCGTATGTAGACTGGAATAACCAGACGCTAGAAATTTGCACTCGCTTGAGACTGCTGGCTTATTTCGCCGAACATAACTGATTTGAAATTTGAGTAAAAACAGAAACCATTGAATGTAAATCAGTTTATATACATTCATATTACAGTATTATATGCGTTGCGACCCACTTTTGTCAATTTCAAGGTCCCAAATGTTAGCAATTTAGCTCCTTTAATACTTATCGCTTAAGAGCTGTTGAATATGTATAAATGTATTTTACTGTGTATGTAAAGAATAATATGAAATAACTAATTTACACATCTTACATTCACCACATCCCCAGACAATACCAATGATATTCAAATACACATACCTTAATTCGATCAATGAAGACTTGACCAAAAGAATCTTCAATAACTGCAATAACTTACAAACTTTGAGCGCAACATACAAGTTTAAGATTTAGAAGATAATCTTATACCTCAAAATCCTAAGTTAAACTGATTTTGATTGTTACCTATGTAACCCAGGAAGTTGGGTTTGTTAGGAAAAGTATCCATGGAGATGATGAGGTGATAGTCACTGATGTTGTTACAAAGACCTGTCCAGAAGCTGAACATCCAGTGACTATGAATATAAGGGTCAAAGATCAGATGAAAGTGAAAGTTTGTTATTGTTTATTAAGCTGCTGTCAGTGTAGTGCAGTGTAGACTAAAACCTATTATATAATTAAAACACCAAAATCCCACACTATCACATTCTCCCCTCCTAAAAGTAATGTCGTCCCGACAATTAAAACAACTAAAACCAAAATATCAAACTAGATTAAAACTCGCATATTCAAAACTAAAACCCACATATTGTCTTTATAGCTTCGCACACAATTCTTCTTCGTTCGGGTGGTAAATTAACGAAATCATCTGAAGTCAGGTACCCAAACATGACCACGGAAGGCGTAATGTTCATGATGTAGTCCCCACCTTGGTATTTCTGTGGTAGTTGCCTGTTCCTTGTTGATCTTCGTGGAGGTTCCGGGGAGTCATCTTCTGAACTAGGTAAATGATCAGACTGGAGTTCCACGTCACTTCCATGAGTTTCTTCCACATCCTCACTCACCTCATGTTGTCTCGTGGGGCTAGCTGGCGGCGAAGGAAGTCTTCCCCGATCCACAATCACAACATCATCCTCATCTTCACTCGACTCTACCTCCGGCTCTTGAATGACAGCCGTCTTCCTCCTGGGTTTAGGTACTGGTGCAGCACAATCAAGTAAATCGAAAGGAATGGAACCAATTGGAAGAAGGTTATTCCGATGAAGCATCCGAACTCTTCCAATACCATCTTCTCGTTTCACCTCATAGACTGGTATATCGGGATTGGGTGGTTGTATCACCGTGTAGACCTGTTCTTCAAATTTATCTGCGATCTTGTGGCGTCCATCTTTAAAAACTAATTTCTTTACTAATACTCTATCATATTCTTCAAATACTGATTCTGTTGCTCTTCTATCATAGTTCTTCTTTTGTTGTTCTTGAGATCTTCCGATGGTTTCCGAAGCTAATTGGTAGGAATATTCTAGTCTCTTTTTCAGGTCTTTCATATAAGTTCTGTATGATGTTATTTCTGATTGATTGACGATGCCAAGTAAAACATCCACGGCGAGAAGTGGCTTCCTCCCAAACATGAGTTGAAACGGTGAAAAATGGGTGCTGTCATGCTCGGTGCAGTTGTAGGCATGTACCAGGGAAGGCAGATACTGTTTCCAGTTTAATTTCTGTTCTACTTCCAAAGTTCCCAGCATGTTTAATAACGTCCGGTTGAAACGTTCACACATTCCATTTCCACTTGGGTGATATTGCGTAGTTTTGGTCTTGCGCATACCTGTTAATTTGCAGAGTTCTTGGATGATGCGGCACTCAAAACTTCCACCTCGAAGTAATATCAAGTATTACGGGGTTATCCAAATTACAGGTAAATGCGCTAATTTCTTGAGTCGTCTTCATTTGACACGTGGCCTATTTAAACAAAGGCAGATTAAATTGATCTACGTCATGATACAGCATTTTAAATTCACTCTAAAATATTCCAATCACAAATGTCTAATCTATACCAATGAAAGACGATAATTCGGTGATTATGATTAGGCCAGTCACGTGGTAATTGGACCGTCAATAGACGCTTATCAACTTGCCGTGTGTATTGATAGTGCTATATTGTACAGACAGTGAGATATTGTATAGATAATGTATATCCTAATGTGTAGTGCCTGTGACGTCACCAGCCAATCAACCGGATTAAGGTTGTAATTGAAAAATCGAAAAGCGTTTTGGCGTGTCGGACACTTAAATGTTAACAGCCGACTTAATTTTAATCAGATTGATGTGAACTTGTCGTAAAGTTGATATAGTAACCATGGGCTATACGTACATGAAATTTAGATTTTTGATCTTACATGGTCTTTAATTTTACACTGTTTTTATATGCACACATTTTCATGTGAATGTACATTGTCCTCGCCCCTGTCCGTCCGTCCACAATTTATTTGTGGACACTCTACAGGTCACAATTCTTATCCGATTTTGAGAAAACTTGAAATATAGGTTTATCTCCAAAAGATCTTTGTTGCTTTTGATATTGGCATGTATCGGTTCGAAACTTCATGGATTATGGCCCCAGTTTGTACGAAAAATCACGTTTTTAGCTTGTGGACCCTATACAGGTCACAATTTTTATCCGATTTTGTTGAAACTTGAAATGTAAGTTTATAACCCAAAGATCTCGAATCCTTTCGATATTCGCGCATATCGGACCGTAACTTCTGAATTATGGCCCCTGATTGTATGAAAAATCATGTTTTTAGCTTGTGGAACCTATAGAGGTCATAATTTTTATCCGATTTTGTTGAAATTTGAAATGTAAGTTTATAACCCAAAGATCTCGGTTCCTTTCGATATTCGCACATATCGGACCAGAACTTCCTGAATTATGGCCCCTGATTGTACAAAAAATCATGTTTTTAGCTTGTGGAACCTATAGAGGTCATAATTTTTATCCGATTTTGTTGAATTATGGCCCCTGATTGTACGAAAAATTGCATTTTTAGCTTGTGGACTCTATAGAGGTCATAATTTTTATCCGATTTAAAAAATCGTTTTAGTATCGGACCGTAACTTTCTAAGGATGGCTGAGTTCGAATTACGTGGAAATTGGAACAAAACTGACAGACAAAATGGCCGCCCCTGGTTCTCAAATAGCGTAAAAATATGGTATATCAAGGTTGTGGACCCTATAGCGGTTACAATTTTTATCCGATTTTGTTGAAACTTGAAATGGAAGTTAATATCCCAAAGATCTCGTAGCCTTCCAATATTCGCGCATATCTGACTGTAACTTCCTGAATTATGTCTCCTGATGGTACGAAAAATCACGTTTTTAGCTTGTCGACCCTGTACAGGTCATAATGTTTATCCGATTTAAAAAAAAAACTTGGAATATACCACCATTACACCCTAAGGATAGTTAAGTTTAAATTTCGTAAATATCGGGCCAAAACTGATAGACAAAATGGTCACCCCTTGTACTCAAATAGTGTAAAAATATGGTATATCAATGTTGTGGACCCTTTAGAGGTCACAATTTTCTTTTGATTTTGATGAAACTTGAAATGTAAGTTAATAATCCAAAGCTCCTTGGTTCCTTTCGATAGTCAGCATATCGGATGGTAACTTCCTGAATTATGGCCCTTGATTGTATGAAAAATCGCATTTTTAGCTTGTGGTCCTTGTAGAGGTCCCAATTTTTATCTGATTTAAAAAAAGTGTGTGAATATATCACCATTACACACTTAGATCATGGATCCTTTTAATAATCGCGGATACACGAACCTAACTTCCTGGATTATGGCCCCTGATTGTTCGAAAATGGCATATTTTTGCTTGCGGATTCTCTAGAGGTCACAATTTTTTTTTCCGATTTTAAAAACTGTTTAAATATTTCACCATTCCACCATAAT